TCATACAAGTAGAATATTAAATGATGAATTTGCTAAATTGAATTTAAGTAATGATAGCTTATTAAATTATGAAATATGATTTAATAAAGCAAATTAAATAATTAGTTAGTTAATTGAAATTTATTAATTTAAATATGATTATTTATTAATGATATAATAGATAATAAGTAGTTGATAAGGTTAAAGTTGGAGAATTGGGTGAATTGTTGATGGGTAGATACTATTTATTAATTATTCTTTATTATCTTTTATTATCTTTTTATGTTTTTATTTCTCCCACCTCTTTCTTTTTTTTCATTGGTATTTATTTTATTAAGGAAAAATTTATTTTCCAAAAATTTTCAATAAAACACCTTGTATTTTTTTATTAATATTTTTTAAATTTGAGGTTGAATAAATTTTTAACAAACCAAGTTCCTGAACTTATTGATCATTGTTGTTTGTAAAAATTACTTATGATAGAAATATTATTATGATGTGAATAAAGAAAAAGTATTACTATGTTAAAATAATTAGCATTTGCTCACATGATACATTTAATTAACCTTCCCTCATGTTATGCTACCCATTACAGATTTTTTTGATTCATGATCAATGCTCCTAAGGCAAATCTAAAAATCTTTGGTCACTTTGAGCAATCTAAAATATCACTACTAGTTGAAAACGAAATATTGTTATCATGCAATATATTTATAGATTTCTGAATAAATACTTTCTTCGCTCGCCATGGACGTTTTACAATTAAAGATAGAAGCTCTTAAAACAAATCTCCCAATTTTTAGCAATCTAATGCCCCATGATAGGTGAAAACCTAACCTTCATTATGATTTAAAACCATTGATGGCACAAATAAAAGAAAATGCGATTCCCAAATAAATGTTTACTTCGCCTACCATGGACGTTTCTCATTTAAACAAACCTGTTAATTTTTTGTCGTTGAAATCGGTCAATAAAAACACACCGAATATATGAATAATATAAAGTAAAAAACTTACATGCATAAGAAAAATTACTTTGCTTGTTCATGTACGTATAGATATTTTATAAGATGAAATTAAGGATTGTTTATTTCCTCTTTAAATTCATTACTAATAAATAATAAACATACATGAAAAATTCCTACGCACAACTTTTTTTGAATGAAAATGTGATTATTGTTTCATCATTTTATCTTGTTTTCGTGCCTCCCAAAAAATTCAGTTCACAAACAAAGCTTCCCAACAATAGCTATTGAAATTTCTATAACAAAGTAAAATGGTTGGTAGGGATTTAAACTTTCCAAAAAATCAAGACGAGTTGCGTGACACCGATCTCATGCAGGTTCAAAAACTCTATTTTTGGTACTGATTTACATAATAAAAAAGCCGCTATATTGATTTTTGTGTATAATTAATATAAATAATGACAACCTTTGGATAAACAATTCGGTTTTGTTGTTGATGATAATATCGATCGGTCGGTATTAGAGCAGAGCAAGGATAATTTGATGATATGTTGATATTGATGTAAATTATTAGTAGAATACATTTGTTGTTGTAATGTCTACTTTTTGAGTTGAATGAACATTTCATTGTTGTTGTTGCTCATGATTACTAGCAGAAGCCATCTTGAGCTGGATTTGTCTTGTTTTCATCTTTAACCTTATTCACGAAACGTTTTTATTTTTTAGAATTTTGAATTTTATTTATTATTTTTTTTTTCGGAAATCGTTTCTAAATTTGCCAATTTGTTTTCCCTCATGATTGTTAGTTATCAATTAATATTAATATATCTTTTGGTGGTCTATTGTACAAAGGTGGAAGTCTTGGTAATCAATATTAATACTAATATTTTTTGTCGACTTAATTGGTTTTTTTAAATTAAAAATACTTTTAAGTAATTATTTTTTTTTGTTTCATACATAAAAACAGTAAAGATTGTTCCTTATTTAATAGCACTTGTGTAACAGCCCAATAATTAAAACCGATTGATCCGAAACACACATTGTAATAGGAATAAATGTACTAGTATAATAGTAATAATTATTTTTATACACGCCCATATTTAATATTAATATTAATGAATTTTATATAAAGCACATAGAAGTAATTTTTTTTAATTAATATTAATTCTTTCCCCATTTTTTTTTTTCCTCCTTCCATCCAACTTTTTTTTCATAATTTTCTTCTCCTTCACTTTCTCCTCTTTAATTTATTTTATATTTTTACCAAACATATAAATAATATACTGTTTATATTATTTATTCGTCATAACTCCTTTTCCATTCTTTTTATTAACAACATTAATCCCTTTTTTATAATTTCGCTTGATGCGTAATTTGTAGATAGTTAATAATAAATAAACATAATCATAAATAAAAAAAAATGTCAAGATATCCAAATACAGATTATTATCCATCTAATAATAATAATAATAATGGCCATTCTACCAGATACAATAATAATCGTTTGCCATCACCAACTTCACCACCACCACCACCTCAATACAATAATAGACAAAATGAATATTATAATAATCAACAACCACAAGAAGACTATGCAGTAAATGGCGATTATAATTATCAGATTGATGATAATAATTATAATAATAATTATTATCACATTGATGATAACAATTATAATAATAATAATAATAATAATAATAATAATAATTATGTTGATGATAATATTTATAATGATTATCATAATCAAGCACCAGTTCCTTCTTATAATGGAGGGCAACAAACTCACAATATCCAACGCCAACCTACTTATCCTGCAAATCATCAAATTGTTGATTTGCGTCAGAACGATTTAGCTGCAAAAGCAAACAAAAGAAAAGTAATTATAAATATTTAATTAACGATTAATCGTGAATTAAAAACCTAACATCACAGAAAACATTCTAACCTCTAAATTGTTATTACTATTTTTTTTTTTTTTTTTAAGTCAGTTAGACATGTAGAATTAACTAAAGGAAATTTGATTCTTGATTGTCCAGTTCCAGACAAAATACTACGTAATGTCCAATATACAACTGGCGAAGAATTTACAAGTATGAGATATACCGCTGTAACATGTGACCCAAATGATTACATCAGTAACAATTATTATCTTCGTCCTTACATTTATGGACGTAAGACTGAAATCATGATTGTAATGACAATGTACAATGAAGACGATCAATTATTCATTAAAACAATGTCTTCAGCCATTAAAAATGTTGCACATCTTTGTTCAAGAGATCGTTCAAAAGTCTGGGGAAGTGAAGGATGGAAAAAAATCGTAGTGGTAGTGGTGGCTGACGGTCGTAATAAAATTAATAAAAGAGTCTTGAAAGTTTTAGGTGCCATGGGCGTTTACCAAGACAATATCATGCAAGATAGTGTGGCTGGAAAACCTGTTACTGGACATTTGTTCGAGTACACTTCTCAATTGTTGGTTGATAGTGAATTCAATATTCACGGATCAAATAAAAAACTTCCACCAGTTCAAGTATTGTTTTGTTTAAAAGAGAAAAACGCAAAGAAATTAAATTCTCATCGTTGGTTCTTTAATGCTTTTGCTGCTCAGTTAAATCCAAATGTTTGTATCCTACTCGATGTTGGAACAAAGCCTTCTCATACTTCTGTTTATCATTTATGGAAAGGTAAATTAATAATGATAATAATAATAATAATTACTGAATGATGGAGGGGGGATTATTACTTATTAATTACTAATTTATTTATTGGGGTTTTTTTAATTTTTATTAGCATTTGATCGTGATCCATCAATTGGTGGTGCATGTGGTGAAATTAAAGCAGAACTTGGAACTGGATGGAAAAATTTGATTAATCCATTAGTAGCGTCTCAGAATTTCGAATACAAAATGTCAAATATTCTTGATAAACCATTAGAATCTGTTTTTGGTTACATTTCTGTGTTACCTGGTGCTTTTTCTGCTTATCGATACAAAGCTTTATTAAATACTTCCCCTGGTAAAGGTCCTTTGGCCTCTTATTTCAAAGGTGAGGCTATGCACGGAGCTGGAGACGCTGGTATTTTCGAAGCTAATATGTACTTGGCCGAAGATCGTATCCTATGTTTTGAACTAGTTGCTAAAAAACATGAAGGTTGGAAATTAAAATATGTCAAGGTTTGTTTGTATATAAATACTTGTGTGTGTGTGTGTGAATATTAACATAATATGATCATTGTCAATATTATCAATATTATCAATATTATAATTGTATAATAATTAAATTTTTTCGTTTTATTGTTATTGCTTAAATTTAGTCTGCAAAAGCTGAAACAGATGTGCCGGATAGTGTTCCTGAATTTATATCACAACGTCGTCGTTGGTTAAATGGATCTTTCTTTGCTGCATTTTATTCAATTGCTCATTTCACTCGTATTTGGAGTTCCGGCCAACCAATCCATCGAAAATTTTTACTACAAATTGAATTCATCTACAACGCCATCAATCTAGTATTTAATTGGTTTGCTTTGGGAAACTTTTATTTGTCATTTTTCTTTTTAACATCAGCAGTAACAGCCGACCCTGCCACGGATCCTTTCAGAGGGTTCGGCAGTGAATTATTTGACATTGTCAGATCACTTTACATCATGGTCATAGTAACGATATTTATTAGTTCCATGGGTAACAGACCTCAAGGTTCCAAATTAATCTACACATTGTGTATTGTATTATTTGCCTTGATCATGGCAACCATGTTATATTGTGCAGGATATACAGTTTATTTGAGTGTAATAAAAGATAATACTATCAATTTCAAAAAGCTACAATCAATCAAAGAAGCATTAAGCAAAGCTGCGTTCCGTGATATCGTTATATCACTTGCGTCAACATATGGATTATACTTTTTCTCATCATTTATTCACGGAGAACCATGGCACATGATAACATGTTTAGTACAATACATCTTATTGGTACCATTCTATGTAAACATTTTGATGGTTTATGCATTTTGTAATACTCATGACGTTTCTTGGGGAACAAAAGGTGATAATGGTACTTCCGGTGATTTGGCCGTCGCTCAACCTGTTGCTGGTAAAGATGGTAAAAAATTGCTGCAAGTCGAGGTACCAACAGAACGTAAAGATATCAATGCTGCTTATGATCATCTAATCGGTGATTTGAAAGTTAAAGTTCGCGAGGAAAAACAACATAGAGATGCTGCCACCAAAAAAGAAGATTTCTACAAGTTATTTAGAACTAATTTGGTTTTGGTATGGATGTTTACAAATGGTTCGCTGATTGTATTCTTTACATCAAACACATGGAAAAATTATGTCGCAGAAAAAAATATCAATGGTGCTTATAATCCTTATCTTACTTTTGGTAAGTTTTTTTTTTTAATTAATTAATTTTACTGTTGTTTTCCGAATTGATTGATTTATGTGAGCGAGGAAAAACAAAAAACAAAAATATTAATCATTTTATTTTAAATTTTTATTTTCAGTATTTTGGTCTGTTGCTGGATTATCTGCATTCAGAACATTTGGCACTGTGTGGTATTTGATCCACAGAGCAATATTTGGTTAACACCACCATTAATATTAATAGAAAACTTATTTATTATATCTATTTATTTATTTGTAATAATAATTTTTTGATAGAATTTATATATTATATAATAATGTATAATTTTTACAAATTTTTTTAATTTTTTTGTTTATATTTATATATAAATAAATATACACACAATACATACAGTATATTAATATAAATTAATATCTCAAAATGATCTTTTATTTTTTTGAAAAAAAAAAAAGGATTTGTTTGTCTAATTAAACAAATATTATGATAAATTATAAAAGTTTTGGCTTGAAACAATATTCAAAACCATTCACTGGTAAAGAAGGTTTATCCAACCAATTCATTTTGTTTGCCATCACTCATTGGTGACAATTTGTACATGAAAATAAATAAAATTTGCAATTCGCATATATGAAAACTAAATTAGTCAATCTAAAGGAATTTCGCACCTTCATATCTAATTATAGATTACAATTCCACATTACGCCAAATTATATCAGTCACAAATAAATAATATGTTTCTTTAAATCTTTAGAAGTTGAAGGAGCTTTTTTATTTGAAAAGTTTAACTTCTCTTACCTTTGACATACCTCCTCCTATGGCTAGTAACTACATTTTTGCAATTGAATTGCGGGCGATTCAATATACCCATCCGGTTCATCATATGCATTTGTAGCTAAATATATATTAATATATATTAATATATTATTACTCTTTTTTAAAAAATATATACATGTATATATATATTATTTCTTTTTTAAATATGTATGTTGTGTGTGTATACATTACATATTCCGCTTTTGAATCCAACAAAACATTGATGATTGTTAAAATAAAGAGCAAAATCACCAAAAACATTAGGCACTTCTCATTGATTTAAAAGTTTATCAAAATTGTACCGAGTATGAAGAAGAGGTGCTAAACCAAATTAAATGGACCACCACAAGAAGAGGAGTATCGTCAACATTACAACAAACACCAAATCATGGGAAAATGCTTTGGGACAGAATACAACAGGAATATCAGGATATTTAGGGGAGGACGGAGTCCTTCTTCGGTGACTTCAGAGTAGAATACTCAAACCGAACAAGAATATATCGATGCTTCAAATACGGCATTCGAAGAAAACGGAGAAGCAATTATTAATAAATAAATTGCCAAAATTATTAGACCTTAGCATTAGGAAACACCAGTCGTATCACAGAGTATCAAATTCATCATCTTCTCACAAAGTTCATATTCCAGTCTTGAAATTCCACCTCTTGTGATTGACTGATTTATTTTTACTTGATTAAGCCAAACCATTTTATTTTATGTATTAACCTAGCGATTTAATAATAAAAAAGTTTTTCGCGCTTTGTTTTTTAATCATGTTATTTTTATTGTTCTCATGTTGGGTGCGCCCGTTCAATTTTATACGCTGGTTAAAACTAATGAGAATTACTAAAAAAACAAATAATCAATTTATTAAGTGATGGGTTAACAATCTTCATCAAATCCCAACTGATAATTCCTCAAATGGAATGGATAAATCTAAATTTTCGTTATCCACCTGCAAATGTTGGAGTGCTTTAGGTTTCCATAAAGATTCAAGAAACACGATTGTTTAATCAATTTAATTCCAATTTTTCTTCCTCTTGTTCCCTCTCACTATAAATTATGCCACGCACAAAAATGCATCCTACGCGTAAGATTTTTAATATAAACTTTTTTTAGCCCCTAAAAATTTTGGTATTTACAACCAATTTGACCTTTCAAGTGGTTCTGAAAGCGAAAGCGAATTTATACCAACCACCATGTTTTGAGAACATTCCTGAAGATAGTGATGATGTTACTGAGGAGGAGAATGAAAAATGAGATGTCGAAGCTAATATTAATTGGATCCAACAACAAGGATTTAAGCTTAGAAAGGTAAATCAGAAAATTTTGAAAAATGGCATAAAGACAAACTCTTGTGAGTAAAAAAAGAAACCATCTAAATCGCAAAGAACAAACTGTAATTGGCATTTAAATTTTTTGTGTCCTATAAAAAATAATCTAAATGGTCTCATATTTATTGCTACATTTTATAATGAACATTTTGGACACTTGATCTTCTGCAAGAAGATTCGAGCCAAAAAAAGAATTTGACAAACCTATTACTATGTTAAATGATATTGAATAATGGTATCGTATATATCACTACATTTTATAATGAACATTTTGGATACTTACTTGATCCATCTGCAAGAGGATTCGAGTCAAAAGAATCCCCATTTATCAAACTAATGCTAAATGATATTTAATGGATGTGTAGATGGACATTTAAAACCTCTTGCAATAAAACGGTGCATATTAAAATTCGTGTGCACACAAAATTTATTATTTTTGTGTTAGATGCGCAGAAAACAATAACTTTAATTTTTTTTTTTAATATTTAAAAGTTGAAATGTCTTTTAATAATTTATATAATTTATTAACACAAGACAGAAGAGATTTAGTACTTAAAATTTATAATTAAATGAGTGGTATTGCTCATTCTGCTTTTCCAACTGCTTCTGACAGAGAAAATAAAAAAAGATATTTTTTACAATTAGTCAAAGAAAACCAAAAACTATTAGAAAATGAAAAGGAATATTGCAGAGGAAGGTTGATTTATAATTTTGAATTAGATAATGCAACTAATAAATGGGGTGAACCAAGAGAATGCAATATTTGCAAAACAATAAGATACTCTGACAAATTTTGTGAAAAGTGTATTAGTCTACACTTACAGAGCTTTTTCAGCACTTGGACATCTGGGAATGAGATAATTGATAGTTTTATTCAAAAATGCCATCAGCTTTCATCTCTTCCAGGTCAAATTATAGAATGGATACCTTATGAGCAATTTTATGACATAGAAAAATTAACAGAAGGTGGATTCAGTTCTATTTATATTGCTACATGGACAAAAGGAAGAATAATTGATTATGATGAAAATAAAAAGGAGTTTAGTTATCTTGGAGCTCAGATTGTGGTATTAAAATCATTAAATAATTCAAGTAATCCAGGAAAACCTTTTTTTGATGAGGTAATTATTTTTATTTAAAATAAAACCATTTATTTTATTTTAAATTAACTAATTTTATTTATATAATTAATTTCAGGCATTGAATTATTGTAAAATTAAATCAGGATCAATTGTTTCTTGTTATGGTATTACTAAATTCCCAGAAAATGGAAATTATGCAATAGTGCTTAATTATTATCCAGAGGGAAATTTAAGAGATTATATACAAAAAAATCATTATAATTTAACATCAAAAGATAGAATTAATCTTTTTATGGATTTATGTAATGCATTATACTTTATACATGAAAAAGATTTAATTCATTGTGATTTACATAGTGGTAATATATTAATGCAAGGAGGTGGTTGTTATATCACAGACTTAGGATTATGTGGACCAGTTGATGAAAAATCACCAAATAAACTTTATGGAATTGTATCTTATGTTGCACCAGAATTATTTAGAAGAAAAAAATACACAAAAGAATCAGATATTTATAGTGTTGGGATGTTAATGTGGGAAATATTTGCAGGACATCCACCATTTGATGATGAAGCACATGATTTTTATTTGCAATTAAAAATATGTGAAGGTTTACGACCACCAATATTACCAGGGATTCCTGATGATTGTGCACAAATAATGCAAAGGTGTTGGGATGTTGACCCAGCCAAGAGACCAACTATTAAGGAACTCTGGGATTTTGCTAGTGATAAATTTAAAACTGAGAGTCTTAATAAAAGTAGTAGTGATATTGGTGGTGGTGATGGTGATAATAATAGTAGTAGTAATAATATTAATAATAGTAATTCACAACAAGTTCACCAATCACATCCATTAGCATATCATACAAGTAGATTATTAAATTATGAATTTCTAAATTGAATTTAAGTAATGATAGCTTATTAAATTATGAAATATAATTTAATAAGGTAAATTAAATAGTTAGTTAATTGATTGATTAATTTAAATATGATTGTTTATTAATTAATTACAGTGATAATAGTAATAATAATAATAATTAGTTGATAAAATTAAAGTTGGAGAATTGAGTTAATTGTTGATGGGTAGATAATCACTATTTATTAATTATTTTTTCATTATTTTCCATATGGTTTAATATCACAAAAAAATAAATTTTTTTTTCAATCTTTGTTGGTCATAATGTATTTACAACATTCTAATATTAATTTGACCTTTCAAGTGATTCTGAAAGTGAAAGCAAATTATACCAAACCACTGTGTTTTTAAAGAACATTCCTGAAGATAGCAAATGATGTTACCAAGGAAAATGAAGAGCTAGCTAATATTAGTATGCATTTCCCAAACAAGGATTTAAGCTTAGAAAGGGTAAGTCAGAAAAATTTGAAAAATGCATACGAAAACAAATTCTTGTTTGTAGTTGTGAAGGAGGTACCAATGAAATCAAACCATCTAAATAACAAATGAACAAACTCCTATAAAAAATAATCTAAATTAAAATGGTCTCATATATATCACTACATTTTATAATGAATATTTTGGATACTTACTTGATCAATCCACAAGAGGATTTGAGTCACATTTATTAAATCAATGTTAAATGATGTGTAGATGGACATTTAAAACCTCTTGCAATAAAATGATGAATATTAAAATTCGCACACAAAATTTATTATTTTTGTGTAAGGTGCGCAAAAAACAATAATTGGGGCATGCTGCAACAAAACCAGACAAAGTGAACATTGGTGTTACCAAGGATTTCGGGGATCAATAGTGTTTGTTTAATATCACAATTGTATTACAATGTAATGTGATCATGATATTTGTCTAGACAAAAATAGTTAATATCTCATTTATATCTGATCTACTATGGAACCCAAGAATTATAACTTTTTTTGGTCCTAACCTATCAAAGATTTGTGTAAAGTGATTCTAGATAATTCAGTCTAAGCCTATTTTAAAAAAGGAACAAGGTGAAAAATTGCTCCTTATATCTTCAAAATAAATGATACTCAGACACTGGAAACTTATCTAAGAAAATCAAGAAAGGAAAATAATAAACACTAAGAAAAGAAAAGCAGAATGAAGGTGGCTATTATCTAACAAAAAGCAGAAACTTTTGGAAGAAAAATAATCACATTGTTACAATATTGATTTATTTTTTCCTTTAGTCTTTTTAACAACATAAATCACAGCAATTATAAATTTAAAATTAAAGTTATATCTGCTATTCATAATCAAATAGATTTACCATCAAATTTTTTTTCATTCTTTGAAATATTGTTTTTATATTCTGTTACTGCTTTGGCAAAGTCTTCATCTTTTGAATCACTGGCAGTGGTTTTGACATGATAAATATTAGAATACTGGATATGGTGAGAATAAAAAATTTATTTGATGGTAGATTGTCTTTACATGAAATAATTTTTGCACTATTGTCATCAATAAAAATATCAAAGTCGGGATGATTAATTCTATTTCATTCTCACTGTTGAGGTATTGTAATTTCTTTTTTTTTGTCTTCTTCTACTTCTAAAATTGATAAACTTGTTCTTGGGAATTTACTAAAAGTTTTTTTGAACTTTTCTCTTTTTGCTTTTCCCCTCTCCTTGGAACTAGTGGTGGCATCTGTTTTCCTTTTTTGCAGGTGCTAACCATCACCAGCTCACTTATTAGATCTTCTTTTAAACATTGTAGTAATTCTTTTGCAGTTGGTAGAGAAGGATAATATAATATCTATGTGGTGTGAAAGAGGTGGCTTTAGAAGTAACACTCTATGTTATTCCTAAAAAAATAATTGATCATGTTTCTATATATGTAATTCAATGAACTGCTCACTAATGTTAGCACTTACCATCTTCTTAAAGGTAAATGAATAAAATACTTATGCTTGAGTCTTCTTAAATACTGTTTGCTTAAGTCCCACTTAAGTCTTACACAAATAAATTATGCCAGCCTGCCAAAATAAGATCCTTAAAAGATTAATTGATGATCTGTCTATATATGAATCAGAGTTGTTATAGTATTTGAGAGAAACAATTTTTTATACTTTCTGAATAATATGAAATTTTAAAAAATCAAAAAAAAAAGTTTATCTGCACTATAAGATTTTTATTGATATGTGTTTTGAATTCTGATAAAGATTTATAAAAAAACAGCTGAAATTGCTAGGACTAGCTCTAATTAATGTATAAAAATGATGGTATGTATTTAATGTAAAGAAATAATAAATGTTATTGAAAAATCAATACATCACAAACAAAAAACTTTTTTCTTTACATAATTAAAGGCAATAAAAAATTTATTAATATGTTCTCTGAGATTTGTTTTATTTGCACATGAAAAAATTTTGTCTTGAAGGCAAAAGTATAGTAATTAATAAAAGGTTACTTACTATTATCTGTTATTATAAAATAAAAATTAAATTTATTTAATTGATTATTATTTTGTGTTGTAAAAGTAATGGTAAGTATAAAAATTAAATTTATACTGTAAAAATAATATTTACAATCTAGTTGTTAAAAAAACAGAGAAATTTATACAATCTTTTGGAAATATTTAATTGAAGATGAATCAGTGACAAAATCGGTAACTTGCGTTCATTAATAAAATGTAATTATATTATGAAAATGTTTAAACAGGGGTAGTAGCAGTTGGACATAACCACTCCGAATAATTGGTTTGAAGAGGTGTGTTATAAGATTGATCACTTAATATATCCACCACATTATCCTATAAAATTTAAATAATTAGAATGTATCTTACAAATAAATGTCAAGCATCAAAAAATAAAACCAATCCGGATGGACATTAAAGTATTATGTAATTTCATTATTGACTTGAGGTTTCTAACAGTTTTTGGAATACTTAATGATTCCACTTAAAGACTAGTGCTGTAAATTATGATGATGGTAGTAATTGTATTTACGGCATATAAAAAGTGATCACAATTACCTTTGCGACCACTTTTGCAACCATACTTTTCCTTTTTTGGATTACGGCACTAGTCTTTAATTCCACTTCTGCTAGAATATATATTCCTGGAGACAATAGATCTAAGATGCATACTTTAATTTTAAATCCGACGATAAAAATAACAATTCGTTTGGCTTCATCTGGGCATATTTCGTTCTTCTTTATATCTTGGTCTATTGCATCTTTTCCATGTATAGCCCCTCGATAGACATCCCAATATATTTTTAGTTCATCATTTTGATGCTTGGGACTTGTTACCTCACCAAATATACCTGTGCACACTCCATTTTTATCGTTTAATTTATAGTCTGGATATTGGCTGCATCCTTGTCTTAATTTTGAGGCCTTTGACTCTACATCTATCCTATAAAAACAATAAACATGGATTTAGTACTAAAAAATTTAAATTATAGAAATTATATAATAATAATGTCATACCACAAATGCGATGTAGTATAATTAAAATAATGAACTGTTTTATTAAATAGTGATGCAATGCAATCCATCATGAATGTTCCTTCTGTTAACTCATCAATATTAAAAACTGATTCCCATGAGATGTATTCCCCTAGCAATTTAAAAAAAGTCCTCATTAAAAGATTTCCAGACTTATTTGCAACATGTCGATCAAGAGACCTTTCGATTTCTTCTAGACTATCTCGTTGAAAACCCTAATAAAATTAAATATGACAAATATAAAAACTATAAATATAACATAAAATTTAATCCACAAACCTTTTATTTTCTTTCACAAATTCAATTATTTCTTTTAGAATTGTAAGTTTTTTGAACTTTGATGTAACACATGTCCAAATATCAATAATTTCACCTGAACTTAGGAAATTAATATAAGTTTGTTCATTTTTTTGTTGAAAATAAAAAACAGAGGATGCACCAAGTATACTGTGAATGTTTTTCTCAGATGGATGACTAACTCCACTAGGTTCTATATATATAATTATATCCCAAAGGCATCCACTTGAGATGTTTCTCAATGATTAGAATGTTGGTTACTTGCTGAGTACAGCAAAGGTTTACCCTTTGTAGTTTATTAATTATTTAACGATTATTATTTTTAGGGTAAAATATGTTATGTGTTTTATTAGCAAAAATAATATTATTATTACAATGTGTTAGGAAGTATTAATTATTAGATTAATAGTTAAAAGATTATTATGAACATGATTATTCTGACTTGGTCAAAAACCAAATCTTTTTATACCTCTTGGGGTATTACAAATAACAAGACTTTTACTCTAGTTTGTCCAATAAACTATGCTTATTAATGTAAAAGAAATATTTGAGTCAACTGAGCATTACAAATAATAATTAATAATTTAAAGTAAATATTTACATCAGCTTAATAAGTTCTTGAAATATAAATATAGAAGAGAATTGCTATTTCTCACCGGTGGTGATTGTCACCACCTAAGGAATTAAATTTGTGTGGGGCGGAGTTAGGGTTGGGGTTAATCATAAATTGTATAATTCCTTAGGTGGTGACAATCACCACCGGTGAGAAA